TTTCAGTTGTGAGATTGGAAACTACAAAAGTGTGTTTCTTTGCACAATACTCCCCTTTGCCTTTTATAGTATAGTCTGCTTTTTACTAATAAGATAATATAATCACCAATAATTGCAGATGCTTCTTAAACCTCTCAATAAAATAAAGGAAGCAGACGCTCGTCTTAACTTGACGCAAGGAGTTCTTGAAGAGGTTGGTATGTATTATAACATTTCTTCATTTTTTGTTGTTAAGAATCACACATGGATATATTCAAAATACATATGTGTTCATAAGCCATTGAGTTAGACCAGTGGACTAACTAACCCCCAAAAGTTTTAAACCGGGGGTGGGATGAAGAAATAATTCATTCATACTCCATATACGTTTTACATAAAAAGTACCATCCATTCAAAAAAAGGTTCGTGCCAAACTTGGGGTGGGCCCGGGCCCACATTGGTCCCAAATCTATGACCCTGAGTTAGAGTACCTAATCAGTACAATCTTTTAAAGCAGCCCACATATCTCTGATCCGATGATAGAGCTTTTGCAGGTATAGAACTGTAATTCAAAAGTAATTATAGCTAAACAGTAGAAATCTAGCTCAGGAAACAATCAGAATTCGTTAATGGAGGAATACAGTATGATAGAGCTAGCACAGCTCTTTAACAACAATTCAGAATGAAATAAGCTGAAAAAAGTAAGAATTCAACTCAAGAAACAATCAGACTTCATTAATGGAGTATTACAGTTCATCTGAGTCCCAAAGATAAGAGAAACAACTTCTCAGATCTTCCCAGTCCCAAGACTCAAGGTGAACAGCCTCCACGACCTACCCCAGCTTATTCTATCTATAGTAATCCAGCTCACCCGACTTTAGTTATTAGCTACTAACAGAATTTCAACTAATAACTACTAGTCTAACTACTTCTACTAGAATAAACTTTGGAAAAAGTAATTATCTTCTTTGTTTGGGTTAGATGTGTCCCTATCATCCGATTGTGAATTTTATCACCTATCATTTTAGAGAGTTATCCATCCTTGTCTTTTGATATTTCTTCGTTGTAATGTAGTATAGGTGGTGGGCCAGGAGCTTGGTGTGCTACCTGGGATGGATTCCATATTCTCAATTTTGGAACTTGAGAAGCTAATAGGATTCTTTAGAAATGTCAGTCAAAAGGACAAATTTGATGTTATAATTTATGATGGCATAAGCACTGAAGAAACCATTCGGATGATAGGCGCAACCAGCAAGGCAAGGTCAGCACTGCTATTCGTTGTAACCACCACCTCATGTGAAAGTGAAAATGAGTTTAGGGGCCAACAGGTTGGGGGATTACGGTAGGGAGGGAAGGCGATGTGTGATATATTTTAAAATTTAATCGTACGTTGATATGGCTGAGAAGAAACTAAGGGAGATAAAAATTGTAAAGGAATAAATTGATCTAATCATATAATGAGTAGTTATTTTCTAGTCTAAGACTAAGAAATGAAGATAAATAAGTAAAACAAAAATGGATCCTCACTCTTCCTCCAAAGTTGCCCCCACCAAACAAGCCCTAACATCCTATTTGGTAAAGGTATATTTGGCTGATATGATTGAGTTGCCTGAAATAATTGTGATCTTTTAATAAAGGGGAAAATAATTTAAATATCCCAAACTTTCAAGGAGTGTGAGATGAGTACCCCAAACTTGCACATGTAATAAACATACCCCAAACTTTATATAAAAGGTTTTTTTAACAACATGAGTATATATTTTTCCTCAAATGTAATTTTATGGTGTTAAGTACACAATTTAAAATACACAAAACATTTATGAGGATGCAATTAAAATTAAATCTTACTTGATGTAATATTATTTATTTCACAAATGAAATTTTAGAATGTTAATTCCATTCTAACAAAGCTTAGAGTGTTTTAAATTATGTGATTATCCAACAAATTTGTATTTGTAAAAAAACATATAATCATGGTGTGAAAATAACCTTTTGTATAAAGTTCGGGATACATATATTACATATGCAAGTTTGGGGTGCTTACCTCACACCCCATTAAAGTTTGGGGTATTTAAATTATTTTCCCCTTTAATAAACTACAGAAAATATGATCTGAAATGACATTAGAAGTGCCGTTTGACTCTTTGCTTTCACTTCATACATTTTAGCAAAAACATGTAACTTATGTAGTACTCTGTACTTTTTTTCATTATCAAGTGGTGGAGTAAGGGTAATGAAATAAGTTAGTGTTTGATTGAAAACACAGCTTATAAGGCTGATAATCTGGAAAAGCATTCAACCCAACGGGCACTAAGTTTAATAACGATCCATTTCAAATTCTCTATGTGCAGATTATACTTGAAGTATCTGCGCAAGCTAGCAGAAAAGACTGATATTGGAAGATTGGTGGGGCCGTCAATCTTGAGACTCGTGGATGAAGCTATGAATTTAAGTAGCAAGAGTTCCAATCTGAATGGGAAAACAAGTTCAGAGATATGGAATATTCTAGATCAAGCATTGGAGGTAGGTTTTTTGTTTCATATTACCTAGATTGTTCTTTGGAAGCAATAATCCAATTTTATTATGGGGCATTTTGGATTGCATAAAATGCCAAGCGGAGGAAAAAACACTAAAGAAAGTTATTTTCTTATGATTTATATTTTGTAAAATTTCTATGTAATTAAATATTTAGATTTCTTCTTCATAGAGTAGAAAATAATTGATAAAAATAGTTTGAGCAAAAATCCAAATTAAATTCTATTTCCTTCCCGTTTTGCTCTCCTTTTCCTCCCTATATTATATCCCTGCTGTTTTCTGGATCCCCACGGACCCTTAAGGTGTCAACACTCAACTGGTTGTTGTATGATGCAGAGGGGATCTTCTATGGTTTCAGAACCCGATAAATTTAGCTGCTATGTTGTGGTCAACCCCAAAAGTCCCACATCATTGGCTACCGGATTACGCTACTGGGGTTGCGTTATTCAAGCAGGAGGGCAGGTCTCTGGTGCATTAGCATTTGGACCATCAAATGAATCAAGGGAGAGAGTTGTTAAGAGCTTCTCACCTCTGCCTTACACTTTCGTTCCACATCTCCCTGTAGGGTCTTGCGTTGAATGGGGTCGTATAGTGCAGGATGCTTCGAGTCTGGACGCACGGGAATTCCTGACTAAAACAAGTAACGGGTCGAAAATTCAACCCGTTATGTTTGATTCTGCCAATAAAACTGTCACGCTTCTCATGCCCGGGTTTGACAAATCAGAAATCAAACTATACCAGGTATGGCACAAAGATTAGATATTGATATGTTCAAGTTTGAAGAACACCAAAACTGAGATTATGGGCTTATTTGGTAAGGGTGATTTGGCTGAAATGGCTCAAATGCTGAATTTTCTTCAGCATTTGGTATGGAAAAGTATTTAGTACATCCATTCCAGCCGAATAAGCGAGTCAAGCACCACTTATGGGCCCGTCTAGTTTTCTTTCTTTTTGAGTAATCCTTGCTGCTTTCCATGTCTTGGCTGAGTATGCTTAGTTTCTTTCAGTAGTGTTTATAAATGAAGAGCTAAATTTGATACTTTATGCCCTTTTAGTATTTATTTATCAAAATGTATATTAACTAAATTGTTTGGTTGATTTTAGTAACTTTAGTCATTCTAGCCACAACTTCAACCGTTCCTGAGTCCTGACCCAACGGGCTCTTTTTTTATCATCAAAACAGGCCTCTATTCATATCAAAAGATTCGGGATCATTACATCAAGTAAAGGGAAAATAAAACTGACACCAACTGAAACTCCAACAACTACAACTATGACTGTAACCCTATGGTGAGACTTTGAGACGGACACCCCTGAGAGAGCAACACGAATCGCTAACCATGTAGTGAGCTTGACACAGTCAAATCTGTTCTCATAGATCCAACCATACCCAATGACATAAAGAGAGGCAAAAAACTCAAACAAACTGACAAAACCAACAAAAGTGGACACAAGAAAACAAATCACAAACAGATAAAAACTACAAGAAAAACTTTCACAAACTCTTAACACCTCGTACATCCCATGGGGGTGGTATTAAATTATTATGATGATATTAAATTGCCTACCAAACTTAGCTTATATGATGATATTAAATTATTAATTCTGTCATTTCTCATTAATGCAGTTTAGAGGGGGATCTGAGTTGTTGGTAGAAGCAGGTGATCAAAGACGTTCCATTTCCTTGCCTTCTAAGCTTCAAGGGAAAGTTGGAGCTGCCAAGTTTACTGATAGAAGTCTTGTTATAACCATTAGATAGGGGAAAAACAGTTTTCTTTTGTTGCTTTGGGGCTCAAGTGCCCTTGTACACACATTTCAGGTACCACAGCACATGATGATGAGATGTATTTCCACAAATCCATCAATTGATAATGTGTTTACTGTTTAGAAACTCATGACTCATGAGCGTATTTTTTTTAAGTCATGTTTGTTGTATTAACCTGCATATTTCAAAAGTTCGATTTTTTTGCAGTAATTTTTAAAATACACCGGGATGTTTAAATTAAAGTTCCACACAATTTTAGAGCCGTTTGGTAGATCAAATTTGGATGGTCAGCCTCAAAATATGTAAAACAAATCATTACGCACACGTATGTAATGGGCTGGAGCTCATTTTTAATATTTTTCACTTTTGATCATGCTAAATTGCTAATATGATTACCAAACTTATATTCGACCCGTCTTTATCCATTCATCTTTTGTAACCCACTTGTGATCCTTTTAGCTATAACTATGTGTATAAAATCACTAAAGAGGTGGCATAAATTTGGTCTGAATACCTAGCCATCAGAACTCAGAAGTGGATAAATTAAAAACATGGATCAGAGGCGGAATTGACACCATATTTGTAAAGTTTGTCAGACAAAAGTTGAAATTAACTTTCTCACAACATTAAATAGCTACTTTGTAGTTTTCTAGTTGATTTGTATTATATGTTGGTCTGGTCTGATCTGTTTAAGTCTGGTCTGGAACTGAAAACAGTCCAAGTAAAAACATCCTTCCATAAATACACATCCATTTTCATAAATACACATCCAATAAACATATCCAACCAATTGACCAGTTCTTAGCTTGGTTTATTCATGCCTAGCTTAGCTGACTTTTACCCCAAGATACTACGTAAAAGACTGCGCATTGCCATGCTTCACCATCAAGAGAAAAGAATTACGGACAAGTGATTTGTGGGGTTGTATGAAAAGCTTCTTTCTATACATAATCTAATGCATCTTTGTGTATACATATAAATCTGAAAGTACAGCATGGTGTTTTCTATAACCAAGCTATCAAAATGATGAAATATACAATTTGGGGTGGAAAAGAGGAAAGTTCATTCTTGCTTTTCTTCCCCAGTTTGTGTGTGCACGCGCCTTCTAAGTTCTTCAAAGGCCTTCATGCTCTCACCATCAAACCCTCCAGATAACTACAAAGAAATCCTCACAACTTTATTATTATTATTATTAACAAAACTTCATCTATTTGGTCAACCTTGTCTGGGTTTTATTCTGCTAAATTATTTGCATGAAAACTATCATTACCAAATACCAAACACGTTTCTTTCACAAAAATCAGAAGATGCAGTTCATTTTATGCAAATAAGTGAAATACCCCCCCCCCCCCCAAAGGAGCCCTTGAGTCAAATGGTGAATTGAGAATAATTACCTGATGAACACGGGAAGCAAAACGAACACCTTGTAGAATTAAAAACTCTCTGGGTGGTTCCTTATCACCCCCACTCAATGCATCCAGCTCTAATGCAACACGTTTCATGTATGTACAAGCCAGTTGAACTAATAAGATCTTAATCTGCATAGGACCAAATGCGCATTAATCATCTTTTTAGTTTGTTTTTTAACTTCTAGTTGAAAAGAAGTATAGTAAGATCACATTATGGAAATTTTTGCCTAGACATCTGACTAGCGCTTCTTAAAATGGGAAAGCGACTAGGAATAGTGAGGAAATTAGCTGGATAAGTGGTAAAAACAAAAATGAAAAACAAATCATTTTCATGCATTAAACGTACAGAAGTTTGGAAGTGAGGGGGGACAATAATGGAATTATTTGATGGTCATTGGACCAAAAGTGAAAAACAATGTATTGTTTGAATACATACCTTACCAAGCACACCAGAATCTAGTAACCAATCTGTAGGAATGCCAAATTCCCTATAACGCGACATAGCCATGTCTCTTGTACGCAATAGTGCATAAAAACACTGTTCTACCCTGAAAATTTTGTGCCACAGCAGAAACCATTTACTTACATTGACTAAAGATAAGTCTTATTAACTACTACCTCCGTCCCACTAAGATTGGGACGGAAGGTGGCACGGTTATTAAGAAAAATGAGTTTATGTGGTTGATATTGAATTGAAAAAGTAAAAATAAAGTAAGAATGGTTTAGAGCCACACATATTTTACCAAATTTGGTATGGTACAATCTTAGTGGAACTTCCCGAAAAGGTAAAATGGGACAATCTTAGCGGGACGGAGGGAGTAGTTGTTTAAATAATACAAATTATCTTCATTGAACTAAGATAATACGTACTTTGGAAATAACTTTTAATAATAACTATTTGAATATATAACAAAAGTGATATAGAGCAATTTTTCAATAAAAATTTAGTCATCTCACTCACACAAAAACAATAGCATTACCCCAATGCCACAGGCTCCCATCTACGGTGGGGTAAGGAGGTCGGATGTACGCAACCTTAGTCATTTCACTCATCAAAAACTAATATCAAAATATCAAATAAGTGACCCCATTTCCAAATATCATTTATTTTATGTTTCGATATCAACTTTTGATGTCTTAAATGACTGAATTTCTTGTCAAAAAGTGGCTCCATATTACTTTCTTTATATCTTCAAATAGTTGGTATTATTAGAAATCATTTCCAAAGTATGTATTATTATTGATTTATGAATGAGTTGGTATTATTTAAAGTTATTTTCCATTATTTAGCATCAATGAACACTCCCTTTGATGTTGTACACAGAGAGCTCACTATGTCTAATATGAACACTTACTTCTCAAGTAGTTCATACATCTTTTTCAAAGCCGCTTCCCAAGAAAGGCTAGGATCATCGACAAATGACGAAACTTGATTCTCGAGTTTCGTTAGGTCTTGGTACTCAAACGAAGCCTCTCGCAATGCAGCTGATTTCCCTTCTGGCCAATCAAAATGCTTGAGAACAGCTCGTTCATCCACCTAAACAAATATTAAATAATTGCTAAGTAGTTTATAATTAGTCATTAAAACTTCTTCTAAAATATCTACCTTAGTATTAAGACTTTGTGTTATATTCTAAAAGGCTATGCCCAAATCCTTCCATGTGAGTTAGGTACTGCTTACTTAGATGATGTGAATCATGCAAATTTAAAAAAAAAAAAATCATCTCATAGTAGCACAAACCCTAACGGCTCAGTACTGCATCATCTACCATGAAAAATTAATCATAACTCATAAGGGACATACCCTAGCGGTCTGACACCTTGTCTCGACTGTGCACTTTCCTTTTTCATAGGAAATGCACATCATGACTATTGTTACCAAATTAATACCAATGGTTCCATCATAAAATGCCAACCCAATATGAAGAGTAGCTCAAATATGTACATTAGATTTGTTATTTAATATTTAGCCGATGTGAACAAATCATATATTTCCGCACTTAGCATTAGAAGTTAAAGATCTTATATGATGGTGTTTGTGTGGGATGACTTATTAGCTTACAAATAAAAATGTAGAGTTATAAACATACTAGGAAGGATAACTCTTCGTCTAGCCACTTCACAAATGCTACCAGATCATCTATTCTGGAGAAGGAAGCCGCACGAACTTCAGCAGCAAGTGACTGAATGAAATCACCTTGAGTTTCCACATCACGCTTCACCTCATGATCAATACAACTGTTATCTTTCTAAGAGTTGGTTATAAAAAAAGCACACATATTAGGTCAAGAATCAAATACAAACTTCTACATACAGTAAAAAAAAACTTCTACATACAGTTAAATTAGAGGACGATTCATGTTCCAATTCTCCGATCATATTGCTGCTAGCGTCAGACGAGGAAGAAATCAAGGGTGGTGAGGAATCATTTTTCGACTCCCGCTTAATCAATGTTGGGTACAACTCAACTAATTCAGGGACTCTATGAGCTTTATCTTTGCTTCTTCCGAACTTCTTCAATTTCTGAATCAAGCTAGACTTTTTACTAGTAGGTTCATCAGTAGAGGTAGTAGTAGTCGTATTAGTAGTTGGGGTAGTATCAAAATCTTCACTTCCAGGAGAAGAAGGGCGAGAAAAGTGTGTTTCATATTCCAACAACAGCTGCTTAGCTATGTCCCGAGATCTCGGGCTCATACTTCTGCTTAGGTCACGAGCCGATACTTTTCCAGTTGGCGTTTGATAGTTCCTGAGTTCGTATCTTAAGCATGCATTGACCCAGCGAAGATACACTAATTCTTCAACATCATTGAATCTGTTCATCTGCAGTCTTTCAACTTGTTTTTGAAGATCCTCATTTGCATGCCTCAATGAAACTACCTCTTCCCTCACTTTGGAAACCACTTCACTCTGCAACAACATAGATTTTGTAAAACACTAATGATAAATCCTGGTTCTCGCTATCTGCGCTAGATCTAAATTGAACCACTTAGGAAAGTTATATAGAATTATTAAAATGATCACAACTTACATAATTATACCAACACTGCCCTTCTATATATATAGTGTTTGGTTCAAATACAAAGAGGTTCCTAGATGAAAAATAAGAACTAATCTTGGCAATCGATGTGAAAATATGGATGGAAGAGGTCAAATTTAATTTGGAAACATGGTGGCATTTTGGTAATTATGAAGAACTTTTAATGAAATATAGTAACAAATGTGTACCAAAACATGCAAAAAGTGCACATGTAGACCACAAAAGTGCCATTCTCACTTTTTAGTTTTTACCAATTTGTGAAGTTAATTTTTCAAATAACGAATTGTCAATTGTGTATATCTTGAACTGTTTTAAACAAAAACCAAACAAGGAAATGAACAACTAAATGCACAACAAACATAGAAACTAGAGTATCTTTGCGGGATGGCAAAAAAATAGAATACGAGCCTATATTTGTGGGACCAAAAGCATGATTTGATTTATCTACACATTTAACACAAAATGTTTCTAATTGGTATTTTAATATTTTTGTTTAATAATTTCCAATGTATAGCACTGTCTTATTCTTTGAAGGGTAACACTAAAACGAGTAATCAATAAAGGGGGGTTTCTTTTTATTTTATTAAAATAAAACTCATTTACAAAAATATCATTGCATAGTCGCTGTGGTCACTGCAAATATATCACCATGTCAATGCATAATAAAATAACTCATCACCAGGTCACGGTTATTGTGCAATAGAAGTCATATTTTTCCGTTATTTTTTATTTTGGTCATATAATTCAGTATTTCATATAAAAAGGACAAAAAACTTCAGTATGCATTACCTCTGTCAAATTGGAGAGATATGTTATTCTCCCTTCAGCGGCATCTAACTTCATCGCCAATTCTCTCTTCTCAATCTGAAGCTCTTTGTTCTTCCTCTTAAGCTCCATAACCTCTAGCTCCAACTCCTTTAAAACATTAGCACTTTTCTCCAACTCAACGTCTAATTTCAAAACTTCTCCTTCCTTTGATTGAAGCAGGCTAACTTGCTGTTTAAGCAACAACAACTGCCCTTTTGCCTGCTTTGCTTCAAGCTGAATCTTTCTCTGCATCTCCTTGATTTTATTTTTGGCTTCCTCCAACTCCTTTCTCACATAAACAGTACGAGAAACCTCCTCGTGAAGTCTTCTCTTCTCATCCTCAAGAGCATTTATGGTAATATTAAGCCTATCAATCTCCACTGACTTCATTTGAAGATGTTTCTGTAGCTCAAGAATGGTTGATTCTTGCTCCTTCAACCCATGATATTCTAACAGCTCTCCTTCAAGCTTTAATTCCCTCTGCTCTAGCTCTTTTACAAGGCTTCTTAACCGCTCTATCTCATTTAGATCTTTTTCTGCATCTGGAAACTCCATTTCGCCCATTAGAAGATGTTCAAATTCAAGAAAAATATCATCTCCTGTATTCAGCAATTTCCTCACTGCGGGATTATAAATCTTGTTCATTAACTTAACTTCTTCTTCCTCCCGGCTCTACAAAATCATAAGTAGCATGGAATTATTTTAGTATTGTTTTGGCTTCTTTCACAATATTGTAAATTTATAGAATCAAAAGAGTGTTAAATGCTAACTTTCGACGTTCACTCTTCTTCCTGATCTGAACTAACAACTGAAGTAATCAAGCATAGGTAGTAAAGTAATCCCTTTATTCTTCATTTATCTGTATTAGCTTGACCAATATTTCTTGTTCCTTCTTTAAATTCATAAAATAAAATTGCATTAAACTGAAGCTTAATCCGAAAAGATAATAGTGTCCATAGGAGTAGTCCAATACCCTATATGTAAGTTCATATTTTGCATTTAAGCAGTGTGGTTAACTTAACATGTGGAACTAAATGCTGGCTCATTGAAGTACAACAATGAGCCAATCTGCTCATCCTTGAGGCATACTTGGATTGAATGGCTCATTGGAGCTTAAAAGGAATATTAAGACATTTGGTACCATCGTCATTTAATAAGAGAAGTGACCCAAATTCTAAATTCATATTTTTGCATCTAACCGGTGTAGAGTGTGAATAGCTTAATACATCAAAATGCATCACTTCCCTTTTACCATTCATATAGTGTTCAATTTACCACTTTTACAGAGAGAAACATAAATGATAGATTAAATTTTAATGACGACATTTTTAATAAGGCATAAAAGTTTGAATTAATTTGAACATAATTGATTTGATCTACATAGAAGGCTAGACCAATAGATAAGAATGGAAGGAAGCCTAAATAGTGCATAAAAATAACTTCAAAAGGGACGAAAAAATCAAGTTTATTCAAAACATGGATGTGGGACAAAAGATTGTCTTAATCCTTCTACATGGTGGTACTTGAAAACTAATACCTCTTTGAGGCAATTCTTAGAACAGGTACTCTGCTCTTTTTCTTCCTCTGAGTTACTGGCTTGGGCTTCGCAATTTCCTGCAGATTTCAGTTACAACAGCGCCATAAGTAAGTAGAGTAATCGACAAAGAAGAACCTATTATGAATATATAATTTCAGTTCTGAATAACACCACCGATTACCTGGAGAAGACTTGGAGGAATGCCTTGGGGTTTTGAGACTGAGCTGCTTCACTGCATAGAATGCAATTGAAGCAGCTAGCAAGAAGCCTAACCTGACAAACATGGGTACTTTTACCATTTTAACCTAAAGAAGGAAAGTAAACAAACAAAGCCCAGATTCTCAGATTGCATAAGGCTCCTATCATGTCTGCCTAGGATAAACCTTTTATAAAACAAGGATGTTCTTTTCAAGTTTGGGATCTCTGTTACATCGCGGTAATTACCATTTAATGGCGGTAATATACAGATGAGAACATATCAAATCAAGAAAGACTTGATTTTTTCCACCATCAAGAAAGACTCGATTTTTTTCTCATACGCAGATATGGGTTACGTAGTAAAACGGTAACTACGCGAAATGTCAAAGCTGGGAAACTACATGAGCCACGGATTTCTAGTGGACAGTCTTAGTACAAGACGATCGAATAGTGTGTACGGAGATGGTTGGTTTACTTGGTTCATGAAACGTTTGAGCTGGATGAGCTTAAGTCCAGAAAAATCAAGTGTCAAGATGATGCACTAGAGAGACTGAAACTGTGAATGCGACCGTCGGAATCGTGATTTTATCACCATTAATGAACAGGTGCCCAACTGCCCACTCATGGCGTTTGCATTTTTTTTTCTTAACACAAGTATACCTTAGTAAGTTGTTTGGATCTGATTCTTAAAACTTTCTGCTCTTTCAGAAAGCAGAAACAAAAGTTGGAGTGTTTGGGTGAAAGTGTAGAAGTGATTCTGGTGCTCTTACTTACCCTGAAAATCAGTTTTTTTAGAAGCTGGGGATGACCAGCTTCTGAAAACTGATTCTGATTCTGCTTCTGATTTAAAAAAGAAGCAGAAGCAGAATCAGTTCCAAACACCTCCTAAGTTACTATCAGTTTATACTAGCTAATCAATCCGTGCATGGTAGATTTCGTTTAAATTGGAGTAATTCATTTGATATACATAATGAACTTTTTTGGTACATAATAACATGATCAAGTTGAAGATATAAAAAAAATGTCGGGAAAAGGGGCAAATAGGCCTCGAACTGATAAAAAAAGTGCAAATCACTCATATATAGGAGGCTTAGTCCGGCCATCGTCATTTGGGGAGGTTCCCGGTAGAATTTTTTGATGAAAATTTTTTAACATCTTCTTCATTAAGTCTAGTTTACTCATACCAAATTTCGGATAAAATTTCAATCGGAAAGGCAGTCAAATGAGTTTTTGAAGATAACTGCACAGTTAAACAGCGCAGTATATTTCAGAAAATCATTTGACTGTCTTTCCGATTTTATTTTTATCTGAAATTTGGTGTGGATAAACTAGATTTAATGAAGAAGATGCTCAAAAAATTTATCAAACAATTCCACCGGAAACCTCCCCAAATGGCGACGGCCGGACAGAAGCACCTATATAAGGGGTGATTTGCACTTTTTGGTTAGTTCGAGGGCTTATTTGCCCTTTTTCCCAAAAATGTGTAGAAACAAAATTATTATAATCAATATTCAAGATAAAGACATGTGTCGTATTTATTTATCTTGCTCTGTTCTACTACCCTCAGACATCGGTGTTCTGTTCTAAAAGAAAAGATGACTCTCAATCTCTGAAGACTCCTAAGAACCGATGGAAAGAAAGTGAGGTTTTATCCCACATCATTGCATTCATTTGAACCTCGGACATCTTCTTTGTGAACCCAGCTGCTTGCGGGACTTGTAGGTAATATGGAATCATGCATTCAAGTCTAATTAACTATTAATTCATTAAATTTAACTTATAAAGTCAAATGTATAATTTTTGCAATTTTTTAATTACTTCACAGCTTTCAATCAATTGCTCTCATTATACATATGACCTAAATAATAAAAATAACACTTTTAGGTGTTGCATAAATTTATACACCTTTATATTAAAAAGGTTATGTTGACTAGTCGAGTGAACCCCGTAATTGAGATGTTTTTGTTGTTGATTCTCATTTCTTTTAGAATTTTCATGGTGCATTAATCGTGCTTCCATTATCTACCAGAACTCGTTTGTCCATTTAGTTGGCAATCCGAATGGAAATCACCAAGGCACCATGATGTGCTTCCAGTGAATCGGTCATGTCTAATTCATTGCACACCATGGGAAGATTCATCCACTTGTCCTTCCTAACTTCAACCTTGCAAATAGAAAATGGCTTGTCGTGTGAGTACTCCCCAAGTCCCGTGATAATTATCTTGCACAGGGTAATGGGGATGGAGGATGCTATTCTACTAACTTCATCGATCGAACCTGCCACATCATCGATTTCGTTAGGTCCACATGATTTCAGAAAAGATAATCATTCCTCAGTAAGTATTCGACTTCCTTTCTCAGAGCTACACATTCCTTTGTGGTATGTTCGATGTAGTAATGAAATTCACACTTCTTGTTCAGGTCTTGTCGTCCTCGTGCCTTGTCCGACTTCTTGGGCCATCATACTTTCTCTCATAGTTTCTCTAGCGAGTTGATGAGGCCCAAGGTACTCACGTTGAAGCAGTATTCATCGATGATAGGTGGCATACTATGGTCGTTGATCAAACTCGTCACGGATGTGACAAGTTGATCTTCGGACTTTGAATAGAGCTTCCCCGATATGTAGTCATGTTTTCTAAAAGAGTTTGACTTTAAATGCCCCCTTCGTAACTATCATTACGATGTCGGGACTGCAAGTCCTCTTCAAGATGGATAAAGGCCAATGTTTTGGCTTGGGCGTCCTCGAAGGTCCGATATGGGTACATTGTTATTTCTCTGCATAGATCGGAATCCTCGAGCAGTCCTCTACTAAATGCTTTGGCGGCCTTTGGAATGCCACACCTTGGAACCGACATCTTCTCCTTGTTAAAACGGTGTAGGTAATCTCTGAGTGATTCGCCTCATCGTTGAATGACCCAGTATAAGTCACTTGTATGCTTCTCCAAAATTATGTTGCTCGCAAATTGTTGATTGAAGAGGTTATCTAACTCGGAAAATGAACTGATTCATCCATTTGGCATATTGATGAACCACGTCAGGGCTGGCCAAAGGCTCGACATATACAACCATCCCTCTGTTATGTCCTAGCGGATACAACCAACAACCTCACTTATACTGTGCCACATGCTCCCCTAGGTTAGAAGTTCTGTCGAAAAGTTTCATTGACAGGGCAACAAATTTCCTCAGGATCTCAACGTAAGCGATTTGGTCGTTGAAAGGTTACTCGGCATCTCAAGTCTTGGAGGTTACAACCAATGGTGATGGCACATCGGTATCATGTTGATCTCGTCTCGCATCTAACGTAATTCGGCAAACATCGTCGCTAATGGAGTTGTCATGTTGGCCATCGATGGGCAAGTCATAGTAATTGTAAGAGCAGTCATATGGGTATACTCTTGACGAGTCAAAAAAGGAATGGTGATCACTTCTTGCTCCCCTGGTTTTGGATCGTGGCGAGTGGGAAGAAAGGTTCTCAATTCCTTCGCCTTGGAGCGGTGCTCTGCGAGACGATGAGTTCATGGTTCTTATAGTTTTGACCAACAAAATGGTGGGATGTGAGGTTCAAGATTCCTTTTGTTTTTTGTAGTACGTAGTCGTGGGATAAAAGGTTGGGATAATGACGATATGGAATTTGGTGTCGAAAAGCTTTGGGCTATGGATTGCAATCCAGAAGGTCTAGTCCCAGTTCGCATTTCGCGAAGAGTCCAAGAAATAACATTGATTTATGATTGGAGTGGGTGTAGTGATGGGAAATATGGGGTTTATAAAATAATGTGTGAGATCATTAGACTCTTGAAAGATGACAGACCTAGGCTTAGCGTGTAACACCGTCCCCAAATGTATTTACCTTCAAGTAAATGATGTATTGAACCTTATTAAAGGATTAATGAATTTACGGAGTTGTAAAATTTTATTATTTCTTTCACGTGAATAGTAAATTGCACGTGGGACCCACATCGGGAGCGGGGACCACCCAACATTTCCGAGACCACATATTTTATTCATCTTGGCCAAGATAATATTTATATGGTGGTGGATATTTCACTTGGGTCGTGGAAAGGCCCTGTGTTGGCCGATTGGGCAAAGGAGGCCTAAATACCGGTACCGACAACTAAACAGATAACAGCCCGAAAATGAATTTCGGAGACTTCCAAATTAAAGTTTTGGAACATATATTATTTCAAAGGGGAGTTATGATGGGGAACACATAATATATTTTATTTTACCAGATAAAATAAATTATGATTAAAACAGTCCGAAAAATACAACTTTCGGGACCGATTGTACACTTAGGGACAAAAAGGGTTGACCTCCCACATGAGTGGGGGCCAACCCACGTTTTTGACCCTCAAATTGGAGGGGTTGGCCGGCTGATAGGAGAAGAGAAACATGGGAGGAGGCCTTGATTTGATCTTTATGGCATCAAACAAAAATGAGGTGGCCCCCATCCACACTCATTTGTTCAATGAGACAAATGGGTATACCTCACCCCTCTTCCTCCCCCCATTTCGGCCAAGCTGCAGCAACAAGAGAAAGAAAACCCTTCTTCTTCCTTCCTCCATTGTTGAAGAGAGCTCATCAAGGAAGAATCACCCAAAAAGGAGCTAAAGTGCTAAAAGTGTGAAATAATTAAGGTAATGATCTTATTATAACTTCCTCTCTATTTTTCTTCTACCATATGAAGTATATATCATATGAAGAACCTTTAGTATGGTTCCATATGTTATAAGTATGGATTCATGGGTTGGAAGGTGGTTCTACGTCCAAAAACGGACTTAGAAGCCAAAACGACCGGTTCACCGGAAAATAACCTTTTTGAGGTTATTGGTATTAATATGGGTTTTATGATTATAAAACCTTGTTAGGAACTTGTGAAAGGTATTTCAAGTGATTTCACAAAGTTGGAAAAGTCGCCGGAGTTGTCGCCGGAGTTGACCAAAAGTCGCCAGAGTTTCACCGGAGTTCAACCAAGAGGAGTAGAACTTCATAACGCTAGTTCAAGGTGAGTGGACGGCTTAATATCTTATAACTTTTGGGTTAATTATGAGATTACCTAAATAAATGTTATATGAGTTCATAATGATGTTTAAAAGATATTTAAACATGTGATTAGCCAATAGGGTTAAGCTTGTATGAAAGAAATTAATTGTTGATGCATGGAATATGATATGAAGAATTATATGAAATGCATATTTGCTTGAAGTGTATTAGAAGCACAAATGAATATTATTAACTTAATTATATGATGATTAAGTTGATACACACAAGGCATGAAATGGCGGTCAACGAAAACGTGGACCGAAGAACAAAGGATTTAATTAATACCGGTTGGTATTAATTAATTATAAATCTATATAAATGCATGGTTTTGCATGGATTGTGATACATAAGATTTATGTATTGGATTAGTTATGAGTAACTAAGTATGATGTAGACTCTATCTAGGTTGATAGGAGGTTGATCATAGGAAAACTTGGTGGAGGACCCTAGTACTTAAAAAAGTACTTAACACTCAAAACTTGGTGGAGGACCCTAGGACTTAAAGTCCTTAACACTCAAACTTGGTGGAGGACCCTAGTACTTAAAAGTACTTAACACTCAAAACTTGGTGGAGGACCCTAGGACTTAAAGTCCTTAACACTC